TATTTAGATTTATCGTGAAAAACTACATCGATCTGACCTTTTTTTTTTGATATTCCTTAGTGAAAATATGCTTGTAAAATGAAGAGATTCAAAAGTAAAAAGAACATTAAAAGATGAGTTTTTTTAATCTTTTTTTCAAGAAAATGGATCTTTCAGAACTTTGGAAAAAAATGTAAAAACTGATATATTCTTACTCAGCTCGACGAGCTCTATCCAGCCATGTGTGAAAAAGCGAAAAAAACTTTTGCTTTAGTTTTGCATTGTTTGCACCTCTCGTTATCGAACGAGTGAAATATGAAACTGAGAAATCCCTAGAATCAAGCTGAAGCTCATATTAAATGTGTTTTTATTTGTTTAAAAAGTACATATGATTTTCACACAATAAGGTATATCTCATACAGTATTCCACTACAAAGAATAATAAGATTTTGCATCAGAAAAATATATTTTTCAAAAACTTGCTAGGGAGGGGGTGGTTGAGTGCCCTTCTCCTCCCGACTCTGTCACTGGTTTTATTTACAATTCTACTTCAACAGAAAAACAAATTCAAAGTTTCATTGAAAACTAATCTTTTTTTTTTCTTAGATAAAAAACAATTTTCTTCTTCTTTCCATCATAATCTTTCGTTTTCATTCTTTTCTAGAATCAAAATTTAACAAATGGAAACAAAATGCCATCACTGTGGCTGGCGGAAATGGAGATGGACAAAAATTAAATCAACTCAATTACCCTCAAGGAACCTTTATTGATAAAAACAAAAATATTTTCATTGCTGATTCTAGCAATCATCGTATTGTTGAATGGAAATATAATGCAAAGGAAGGACAAATCATTGCAGGTGGAAATGGCTATGGAAATCAAATGGACCAATTGTTTTCTCCATTAGATGTGATTGTTGATGAACAAAATCATTCGATTATCATTATTGATTTTGGGAACAGACGAGTGATTCAATGGTTGAATCAAACTCAGCAAATTCTCATTCACAATATTTACTGTTGGGGCTTGGCTATGGATAAACATGGATTTCTTTATGTTTCTGATCGAGAGAAGAATAAAGTGAGACGATGGAAAATGGGAGAATATAACAACGAAGGAATTATAGTGGCAGGCGGAAATGGACAAGGAAACCAATTCGATCAGCTCCATTCTCCAGATTTTATCTTTGTTGATGACGACCAATCTGTTTATGTATCAGATCGACAGAATCATCGCATAATGAAATGGGGAAAAGATGCAAAAGAAGGAACAATTGTGGCTGGAGGAAATGGTGAAGGAAGAAGTCTCAATCAATTGTCTTACCCTCAAGGAGTCATTGTTGATAACTTGGGTCAAATCTATGTGGCAGATTCCATGAATGATCGAATAATGCGTTGGTGTGAAGGAAAAGACGAAGGTGGAATTGTTGTTGGTGGAAATGGTGAAGGAAATCAACTAAATCAATTACATCATCCTTTTGGTTTATCCTTTGATGGCGAAAGAAACCTTTACGTCGCTGATTTGAGAAATCATCGAATTCAAAAATTTGAAATAATTTTGTGAATGAAATTTTGATTTTGAAATTAAGAAAAAAATTTTTTTGTTTAATAAAAAATCGAGAAATAAAAATAAAATAAAATAAAAGATCAAGTTTTATTATTGAAAATCAATGAAGAAATCAAATAAATTTTGAAGAAAAAGAAATATTTTGATAAGAAAACAATAGAGAAAGCTTTTTGTGTACTCAAAAAGTGAGTACACTACTAGAATCGGTCAGTATGGCCATCCGACCGTTTACACGATAACGCACGAAAGGAGAATCAGATTGTAATGAAATTTTCAACACAATCCAGTCTCATCTAGGTCTCGGTCGAGTTCGAAGATGAGCCTAATTGGTCGGGCCATTCTCGAGTTATTGCAAAAACACTGATATTTCTCCATGATTCCCATATGCACTTTTTGCAGTACACATAACTCTCGGATAAAATCCAAAGTTTCCATATTTATTTTTTCATCAAAATTGAATTAAATTTGATAATTTTGGTTAAACAATTCGAATAAATAAATATTAAATAAATCATCTTTTTATTGATTTTTGTCGAATTTACAGGAAAAAAACAGAAGAAAATAATTTATAGTTTGAATTAAGTTGAAATAAAAATCGAATTAAATTGAATTTTATTGAGCATAAGTAATGCTGAAAAGATTTTTCTATACTGAATTAACGTAATTTTCCATAAAACTTATTGTTTGATTTTAAAAAGATTTTTAATAAAAATTGAATTAAAAAATGACTTGTCAAAACAGAACGTCTTTTTCCTTATTTTTCTTCATTTGAAATGTTTTGCTAGATTTCTTAAGTATGTCGGTGTGGGTTGAGCGATTATCGGCACGAATACCCACACCAGGGTTGCCAACTGTACCCCATTTTGAGGTACAGTGCCCCATTTCA